GCGTAGGGGCATCGTAGGGACATGCGGTTTGTTTTATATGAACAAGGTAAGACAGCTAATCAATGATACTGCAAAGGATCGTCAAAATAAAACGGGAAAGGTTTATTAATTCGACTAATACTGCAGCATGGTTTCAGCATTTTACCGTTGTACGCTCTCCTTCTTTATCTGCTCTTGATATTATATAATAGACTGTTATTATTCGACGGATACGACTTAACCATATTTACCTAATTTAGTGAGTATCACACTCTCTCAGCTGTCTTAGATTTCTGTGTTGGTGCATGCTGTGTGGGCCTTACTTTAGGCCAACAAATATGAAACTTCTTATTACAGCCCGAACTATTTTTGGAGTCGTTTTTTCACATCTAGCACAGTCCTAACCCGCATGCACCTAATTAACTGCGAAATGTATTGTAAAAACATCCCGAGTAGTGATGCCTCTGCTGCGTAGACGTCTGAGCAAGCGAGGGAGGCCCTCAGTTTTTGTTACTTGCTAGCATCGCATGCTGTGCCTGCATTTCGACATCACACGTCTGTCTGTGTTGCCAGGACGACAATGACCACCTGCCGCCCGTGCCCTACCTCTTCCAGAGCCCCAAGGGCATTGAGTTGGACCTGAGGCTCTTTAACAAAGGTGAGACTCACATACAGGGGGTGGCATAGCTGATGATTGAAGACAGCGGGGGCAGATGTGCATGGGGTTGAGGCCGTACGTATCAGCCAATAAAAGTAAAAGTGATGCGCCAGTATATGCAAATGTCAACGTGTTGAGCTTGACAGATACAAAATTGCCTGGCGAAAGTCTAGAGGTGGTGAGTGTGTTTAGACTGAATATGCCAGTCTACCGTGCTGAAAAGTGGCAGTGGTTGGCTCGTGGGCTAGAAATACCCCAGGTCAGTTCCTATCGGGAAAGTGAATGCTGGGAAAGTGTCTCCCCACCCCATCGGGAGAGAAAAGGATAGTTTTATATATGTGTTTAGAATAGGCACAACGAGATGTAATGCTCAATCCTCCATGTGCTTTTCCAATGTCCCGGATCCGACTGACTGGGAGCGTGGGTTGGGTGTGCGTATGAAAGCCAATCTGCAGTTCCCAGCAAGCTGCGGCTGTCGTCTGCCGCACCACGCTGCTCAGTGCTGCCCTCTGTTGTACAGATGTGATGACGGAGGCGTTACCGCTACTGTCTGCGATCCTGGAGCAGGAGTCGAAGGGCTGGTTCGTGCAATTTCGTGAGAAGTGCATCTCAGAGAGGAAGGGGCATGGCATCAGTGACGAGGAGATTGAAAAGGTAAGATCAGGGGTAGAAATTAACTTGTGAAGAAGGGAGTCCAACTGACTCCCTGCCCTCAAAAAGAGGGAGTCCGCAGCAAAATAAATGAGTCTGCAGTCTGAAGTTCAAAACTAAAGATATTAACAGTAACGCATGTGCTTATTTTGAAGATTCATGCGGTTGCACGTCTGCTAAATTTTCTTTGGACATTTGCTGAAAAAATACGGTAATTCCGCGAGGCCGTGCTCTGGAATGAACTAGTTAGTATAGCAGAATTTTCAGGGAGTCACACGGACTCCTGCATATGTCAAATCAGGGAGTCCGACAGTAAATCAGGGAGTGTTTGACTCCAGACTCGCGTTAATTTTGCACCTTGTGAGATGGTGATGCCATCTGAGGGTTTTCTCTCTTCGTAACCCATGCCTGCATGTGTGACCCTGCCCACTCCCGTGCATGCGCGGGGGAGTTAGAAATGCGTAGCTATGTTAATATGAATTACTTGGTTTGCCAGCGAAGATTTGGCTGTGGCCAAAAGCACCATGGCTGTGGTGGTGGACGTTGGTTCCTCCTGCTAACCACCTATTTGCAT